TATGTGGGCCTCTCACTGTTGTGGCCTCTCCCTTTTGTGGAGCACAGGCTCTGGATGCGCAGGCTCAACAGCCATGGCTCACGGGCCCAGCCGCTCCATGGCATGTGGGATCTTCCTGGACCGGGGCACGAACCCGTGTCCCCTGCATCGGCAGGCGGACTCTCAACCACTGCGCCACCAGGGAAGCCCATTTTCCTATACTTTTGCTCGCTTTCCTGATGTTCCAAGGTTCCTCACCTTATTGTTTCCTTTCTGTTTACAAAAATTTCTTCAGCAATTCTTTTAAGATAGGTCTACTGACAAAAAGTTCTCTTAGTTTTCCTTCAACTGACAATGTCTTGGTTTCCCTTTAATTTCTAAAGAATATTTTCTCTGAGTATAGAATTCTGAAATTTTTTCTTCCAGCCCTTGTTAAAGTCATGCTACTTCCTAATGACCTCCATGATTTCTGATGAGAAATCTGCTATAATTTGAGTTGTTTCTCCTATTGGTAAAGTGTCATTTCTCTCTTGTTGCTTTCAAGATTTTTTTCTTTGTCTTTAGTTTTTGGAGTTTTGACTGTGATGCATCTTGGTGTGGATTTCTTTGGGTTTATCATATTTGGAATTTGCTCAGCTTCCTGAATGTATAAGTTTCCACCTCTTGCCAGATGAAGGAAGATTTCAGTTATTATTTCAGCTCCAACCTCTCTCTCTTCTCTTCCCAGGACTTGATGTAACGAATATTAGATCTTTTGTTATAGTCCCACGGGTCCCCAAGGCTCTGTTCAATTTTTTCCCGTCTGTTGTCTCTCAGTTGTTCATACTGAGTACTTTTGATTGTCGTCTTCCAACTCACAGACGCTTTCCTTTTATCTTCTGTTTCTTTGCTGAGACTTTCTATTTTTTCATTTGTTTTCAGCATATTCATAATGGCTTGTTGAAGCATTTTTATCATGGGTGCTTTGAAATCTTTGTCGGATAGTCTAACATCTCTGTCATCTCAGGGTTGGTCTCTATTTATTATCTCTTTTCATTCAGTTTTAGATCTCTCTGGTTCTTGGTATGCTGAGTGATTTTCATTTGAAACCTGGACATTCTCATATTGCACATGAGATTCTGGATCTTATTTAAACCTTCTGTTTCAGCTGGTTTCCTCTCACTCTGCTCTGGAAGGGGTGGCGTGGGCTGAGCCTCATTCTTGCCAGGTGGAGATAGAAGTCCTGGTTTCCCAGTTGGCCTTCAGTGGCACCCATGGTGGAGGTGCTCCTATCACCGCTGCATGGAAGTGGGAGTTCTGGCTCCCCGCTAAGCCTGCCCGGAAAACTCCCTGGCTGGGAGGGACAGAAGGGCTGTTTCTTCTCCTCACCTGTAGACATGGGGTTGGGGGAGGGGTGACCTTGTTATCGGGCCAAGGTGAAAGACCTGACTCTCTACCGGTCCTCCTCTGACAAAACCCTGTGGGGAATAGGAGAGATGCCTTGTTACCGCCAGGCCGGGGTAGAGGTCTGGACTCCCCACATGTCTCTACAGGCACCACGGGAGAGGGGCCTCGTTTCCAGCTGGCAGGGATGAAAATCCTAGCTTCCCACTCAGCCTCCTCTGACACCAGTGGGGATGTTGGGACACCTCATTTCAGTGCGGTGTGGGTGTGGGCGGGGCCGTGTTTGCTTCTGTGTGTTTAGCTAAAGTAGAGCAGTTATTGTCTACAAGTTTTCTGACTTGCTGGGCTTCCCTTTCCTGGTCTTTTGGCCAGAGAGAGAAGGCTTTTGTTTGTCTGTGCCTGCTGACATTTTTAAATGCCAGCTTCTCCTCCTCCAAGTCTAGGATGTACGAGGCAAAAGAAAACCCAGGGAACTTGCCACTGTGGAATTCCTTGGGTCCTGAGGTCCCTAGTCAGCCCACCTGTTTCTCTCCACCTTTCAGAATCTTCTTCTATTTGTTTTATATAAAACATTCAGAGTTTTTACTTGTACTTAGTGGGAGGAATAGGGAAAAGTACATCTGCTCCAGAAGCAGAAATGTCTCTCTGTGTTACTTTTGCAACTTCCTGTGAATCTATATTTATTTTGAAATTAAAAGTTTAAAAGAAATTCTAACATAGGCGTCTCACCAGCTTGTTCGAGTATTAGAATCCGAGACAAATAGTTACTCTAGGAGAAGAAGCCTGTTCATCAATTCACATCAAAGTGTGATAAACTCCAAAGGACAGCAGCTCAGAGGCAGGGGCAGGCGCGGGGCTGACGTCACCGGGAGTGGGTTATCCAGGCAGCCGTGCCCAGAGCACTGGGGCTGGGCAGGCAGCTCGGGGCAGACATGTCGGGTGGCGTCTCAGAAGATCACGTCTCAGAAGATCATGAAGCCCTTTGCAAATGAAGGGCCTCATTACCGCTCACCCTGTGGGGGTCCTCGAATGCCTGACTTTGATTCTGAGGCAGTTGCCAGGCTAGAAGGCACACAACTGTTGCCTGTTAGAGCTGGAAGGGTCCTTGGGGACCATCTGCCCAGCCCCCCCCCCCCCGCAGCAGGAAGCGAGGCCACAGCCCCACAGCTCTAGCCAGGCGGGTGGAAGCCGGGCCTGAGGAAGGCTGTCTGGCTGCACGGGAGGCTGGGCTGAAGGAGAGGCCCGCAGCGGGGCCCAGCTGGCCAGCCGGACTCCTGGCTGGGGGAAACTGGAGCATCTGGAAAGCATCATTCACTTTGACCAATCAATGTTTAAAGGCCAAACAAAGCCACAGCGAGCACAGCCAGGTTTTCCCCCCCCACCTTCCAAGTCGAACAGCACATCTGGGTGTTTCATTTTAGCTCACGGTCATTTGCTGCCACGAGATTGCCTTAGTGGTGGGGGGGGGACACGAGCCTCTTGCCACTAGAGGACACGTTTATCCACCTTTAACTCCCAGGAGTAGACTGATTTCACGAAAACAGAAACTCACACCTGCCTAAGGAAAACTGGAAATGAATATTTCCATACTTCAAGTTTTATTCTATTCCTGAACCAGGCCCTGGGGTGAGTCGAGGGTGGGAGCGGGCTTGGAGAAAAGCAAAACTAAGCCCCTGCCCCAAGCTGTCTGCTGCCTTGTGGGAGACACGAAACAGAACGAGTGCCAGATAGAAAAAAGAGCACTTGCTGTTCAAAACGACAGCCACACCCTCTTCCTTGAAGCAATCCCTTCCTTGGGGTCCCTTCTGGGACTCCACTCTCCCCTGGATCTTCTCCAGTCCCACCCGCCACGGCTTCACCCGCCCTTCCCATGTTGGGTTCCTGGATGGCTGGTCCTGAATCTCCTCTCATCTCCCTCTACTCTCTCTCCTGGACCAATTCCTCCTCTCCTGGGGCCCCAATTACCATCTCCTTGCCACCGACCCCCAAATTCACAGCTCCAGCCAAGCCCTTCCCTCTCAACCCAGAAGGACACATCCAACATGGCTTGGGTGTCTGCGTGGTTCTCAGGACTCAACCTGTTTAAAACTGTATGCATGCTGTTATGGGCTGAATTGTATCTTCCCAAGATTCATCTGTTGAAGTTCTAATCCTCGGTACCTCAGAATGTGACCGCAGGGACTTCCCTGGTGGCACAGTGGTTAAGAATCCACCTGCCAATTCAGGGACACAGGTTCAATCCCTGGTCCGGGAAGATCCCACATGCCGCGGAGCAACTAAGCCCGTGCGCCACATCTACTGAGCCCGCGATCTAGAGCCCACGAGCCACAACTACTGAGCCCGTGTGCCACAACTACTGAAGCCTGAGCGCCTAGAGCCCGTGCTCTGCAACAAGAGAAGGTATTGCAATGAGAAGCCCGCACGCTGCAACAGAGAGTAGCCCGTGCTCGCAGCAACTAGAGAAAGCCTGCACGCAGCAACGAGGACCCAGTGCAGCCAAAAATAAATAAAATTTTTTTAAAAAGAAAAAATAATTCATTTACCTTTAAAAAAATGTGACTGCACTTGGAGAGGTGATTCAGTTAAAAGAAGGTCATTAGGGTGGACCTTAACCCAATATGACAGGCATCCTTATAAGAAGAGTAGATTAGGACACAGACACAGAGGGATGACGTGTGAGGACACAAGAAGAAGATGCCCATCTGTAAGGCAAGGAGAGAGGCCTCAGAAGGAACCAGCCCTGCTGCTACCTTGACTTTGGACTTCCAGCTTCCAGAATCGTAAGACAACAAATGTGTGTTGTTTAAACCCCCCAGTCTGTAGAACTTGGTGGTGACAGCCCTAGCAGACCGATACGCACACTTTCACCCCACCTGGCTTGCCTCCTGTGCTCCCTCCTCTGTGAAAAACACGTCCACCAGGCAACTGCCCAAGCCAGGAAGAAGCTGAAGATTCCTCCAAATCCTTCTCCTCTGTGTCTTCCACAGTGGTCCACGGCCACACCTGGGCACTTGGACTCCTAAATAGCTCTTAAATCCATTAACTTCCTTCCATCTCTTCAGCCCCGCCCCCTCCCTGCTCCCACCCAAGGCTGACTGGCCACGAAATAGGCAGAACTGCCAAGTTCAGTGTTTCTCAGGAGCTGTAGCCCCAATGAGCACGACCACACGTGGCCACCGCTGGGGGAGCGCTCGGTGGCTACAGCGTCCTGCGTGTGGGTGCCACCCAGACGTTGCTTCCCAGGATGCCACAGTCCTGTGGTGTTCAGAAATCACACCAGGGACGTGGGCGTTACACCAGTTCACACGCTTTGCAGCCACAGAAGGCAATCGTGCTGTAATTTCAGAGTGAGGTGCTTAGGGGTGTAAGAGGTCCCTACTCTGGGCTCCTCTCAACTCAGAAATCCCCCCACCCTGGACTCAGACTGCTGTCACCATTAACCAGAAAACATCTCCTAGGAGGAAGTGGGAGGCTGAGGCCCCGTGCTCACCAAGCATCCCCCCACCAGGCCTTCCCTGGGTGCTTTGCCAAGAACGTGGCCTCTGGGTTCACTGAAATGAATGGAACGTCCGCAAGATTTATGTGTCTGCATGCTTTCTCCCCAGGCCTCAGCAGGCTCATTTCACACACACCCAGGACACAAGCACCAGGGGCACCAAACAAGTATGAAAAGAGACAGGCTAGAATCTTGCAACTATCAGATGTAGAAAGATGCTATTGACACAAATGTTAGGTTCGTGGTTTGAATCACCGATGGGAGCCTAACCCGGAATGCTGGTCAGGGGCGGAGAAGAGAGGGACAGGGCCCTTCCCTAACACTCACAGCCAGACCCTGCTCACAGCAGCCACACCTGTCTCCTAGGACCCACGCTCGACTGCAGGAGGTGGACCGTGACGGAGGTATGCAGTGAGAGCGGCAGGACCCAGAGGAAGGAAGGAGGGAGCTGCTCTTGAAAAGAGACCAAACCACCGATGAAAGGTGAACAAGAGGTATTTGCCAGGCAGACCGGGTGGGACCGGCAGCCTAGGCAAATGTCTCGTACGGGGTGGGAGGTTACGGTACCTCTGGAGCAGAGTACGTAGGGGCGCCCAAGAGCAGACGTGGCTGCAGGGACAGGCAGGAGGCTGACCATGGAGGGCTTTGGAGCCATACCCACCTGCTCTGAGGTTATACGGGTGGATGCCCAGAGGATTGAGTGGAGTGATCGGGTCAGATTTGTGTACTTATTTACTTATTTATTCATTCATTCTTTGTTTTTAGCCAACATGCAGCTTGCGGGATCTTAGCTCCCCGACCAGGGATCCAATCTGTGCCCTCGGCAGTGAAAGTGCAGAGTCCTGACCACTGGACCACTAGGGAATTCCCAGATTTTTTTTTTTTTAAAGAAGCTTGACTTCATGGTCCTTGTATTTTCAAATGACAACCTCAGTTTCCCCATCTCTCAAATGGGGACAATAATAGAACGTACCTCATGGGGCTGTGGTGCAGATTAAACGAGTTAATACAACCAGACATGCTTAGCCTCGTGCCCGGCACATGCATCGTAGCTACAGATCGGCATGACCTATTTTCTTGTTGTGTCACTGTTGTCATCATTCGTCAGGCCCGGGATGGCAGGCTCAGGAGCACATGGCCTGGGCGCTTGTGTTGATGGCCTCCTTGCTAAGGAAAGTCAGTGCTGCGCAGTGTGAAGCTGTTTACTGCACACGGACGCCAGGCCAAGGGGTGAATGGTGGCTTGGGCACCGCCCCCTGCAAGCTGGCCAAGCCGTGTGCCTGGACACGGGACCACACCCATCCAGAGAGCCAGCCGACACCCTTTTCCAATTTGCCAAGCCCTGCATTGGGAGAAGGGGCTGGGGGCTTTTCCTAATTCGTGCCTGATGTCCTGGGGTCCCCCTGGAGAGGTGCTGCCATTTGGGGTGAGGGCTGGAAGCTAAGAGGCATCTCAGAGTGGTGTTGGGGGCGGGGGCAAATTGGGAGGGAGGTCTGCCCCCTTGATTCCCCCAGGTCAAGGCCCCTTCCGTGGAGGGGTCAGTTAGAGGCTGACCAGGGTCAGTTAGAGGCTCATGGAATTCCACATTAAAGGAGAACCCACAGAACTTCAGAAGTGAATGTTCCCAGCGTGTATCTCCTCCAGCCCCAGCCTGTGCGTCATGTTCGACACAGAACTTAGAGTCAAATAAACCTGTATTCAGATCTCAGTGTCCCCAAGCCCCTGTGGCTGTTGCTTGACCCCCTAGGGCTCGGCTTTGTCATATGGAACAGAGTGTGATGCTAACAGCTCCCCTGCACAGGGTAGACAAGAGCCTGACATGAACAAACACGCAGATGGCAACTAGCATGGTGCCTGGCACAGAGCAGACACCCCAGAAATGCCAGCAACGTGCCGTCCATCCAAGGTGGGGGAAACATGCACGAATACTTTCCACCGATACCTAAAATATGAAGGTCGAAATCTGGACAGAGGTTTCTTTTAATTAGCTAGCAGTGGGAAAGGTTGCTTCAGGAATGTGAGTGCCTGATGATTTCCCCAGGTGGTAGGGAAAAAATATGAAATGACAAAAACAGACCGAGAAACATTCTTGAGGGAAAAAGAGACAGAGAGTCCTGTTAATAGCACCACCTAAATATAGCAAAGTGTATTTTTGTAGATGGCAAAAATGGTGCCCAAACTGGGGAAGAAAATGCTGGTTCTTCCCAAATTTCCCAGCTAGCTCTTTCTTGAATCCAGGTGGCCAGGCACATCTGGAAGCTCCAGCTGACGGAGTGTCAGTGTGTCCACCTGACTTCTGGGCACCGTCCAATGCAGAGGGACAAAGCTTAACAATTTTCCAACCCTTCCCATAAAATCCAGTAGAGCGGCCCGACTGGGAAACCTGGTTCTTTCTCACCTGGTTGGGGAAGTAAGATCTCACAAGCCACCTGGTGTGGCCAAAAAAAAGAGAAAAACTTAAAAAGGAAAAGATGAACACGGCTCCACAAAGGGCCTTCCCCTTTGACCAATTTTGAGGCAGAATTTGGTCAAATCGCTTCACAAACATATGGGAGGCCTGGAGCCCCCCAAGCCCCTAATTGGGAACAGGTTAGCGGAGACATCCGCCGGGAGTCGCCACGTGGTCCCCAACAGCGGCCTTCCCCACCGAATTCTTTTGCTCTGATTCCCACATAAGCCATAACAACACCATGCAGAACCAATTACGCCCGGCTCCGAAGAGGAGGCCGCAACTCTGGTCGGGGTGGCTGGAAGGGGACCCCCTGGGACGGCCTCCTCTGCGGGGGGCCACCCTGCTGTCAGTCCTGTGACCCGTCTGTGCCTGGAGCCCGCGCCTGCCCTCCCAGAGGAAAACCCCACAGCATTTATCGTGAACTCGCTGAAAAGCTGGAGTGTTCCGTGGGTGACCAAGAAATTGATGACCCCAGAGCTGACCGCCGGTCGGGAGCCGCTGTGGCATCAGCCGTTTGGAAAGGGTGGGTGGTGGGTCCGTTTATATTAAATGAGTGGAGAGTGGGGACTTCCCCTTCCAGATATCCATTTACAGCTGCAGAAAGGCCCTTCAGTGCTGAATCCAAACGAGGTGTGGCATGGGGAGGCCGGGGTTTGGATGGGTGGGAGCTGCTGGGTGGTGGGAGCTGTCTGGCATCCGAGTGCTCTATCAGCAAACATCTGCGGGTGCCAACGTCAGGTTCAAAGCCTGGCTCCGCCGTTGACCGGCTGTGCGATCTTGGGCCAGCGACCTAGCTGAGTAGGGCCTCGATTTCTCACGCGCAAATAGGTGTGATCATAGTGTGCAGCCCACAAGCCTTTGTCAGGATTCAATGAAATAATCCAAGCAAAATGCTCAGGATACGGCACGGATGCAGCAAGCGTTAGCTACTATGAAGATTCTACCAGGGCTTCCGTGGTGGCGCAGTGGTTGAGAGTCCGCCTGCCGATGCAGGGGACACGGGTTCGTGGCCCGGTCCGGGAAGATCCCACATGCCGTGGAGCGGCTGGGCCCGTGAGCCATGGCCGCTGAGCCTGCGCGTCCGGAGCCTGTGCTCCGCAACGGGAGAGGCCACAACAGTGAGAGGCCCGCGTACCGCAAAAAAAAAAAACCACACTGAGCTCGTTAGCTTTGTCCTTTGGGTGTCATGGGCAGACTGGTAGAAGCCGGTTAGGGAAATGGGGATATGCACTCCCCCGGAAAATATTTAGTTCCTAGCTGCCTTCTAAGAACAAAGCAAAGAAACAAACGCATACAAGTTTGTTATTCATCAGAGCCCCCTGAGGCTGCAACATGTGGGCCTCCCAGCACTCGGAGACACTGGTCCAGTCCCAAGGTGCCAGTTCTAGGTGAGGGGGGGGGGGGGTTGGGCCAGGGTCAACTGTGCCCCGCACCATGAGTTCCAAACGCAAAGCCCAGGTGAAAGGCTATTAAGAATTGGAAAGGGGGTGCGGGAGAGCTTGCAGCATGCCTCATCTGTCCGATGCCCAGCACTGCCCGTCTGCTGTCCTGCTAAGGCACTGGCAGCTTCCCCAGACCACAGGCATTGGTCCATCCTTTTGGCCTTTTCAAGGCTCAAGATTTTCTCAAGCTGGCCCTGCCCCTCTCTGCTCCCTCCTTCTGGAAACTTTCCTTTCAGTCATTCCTAACTACCCATCCTGGAGCCCCACCTGGCAGGGACGGCATCTGGGTCATCTCCATGTGCCAGAATCCTGCCACCAGACCATCAGTTCCATTATCCAGGACGTGGTGGACCGGAAGAAGGGGTACAGTCTCCCCCAGGGTGTCCTAGTCTCAGGGCAGTTTCTGGAAGGTCCCCTCTTGTGTTAAATCCTAGGTATGGGTTGATATTGTTGTTATTTACATTTTTCTTGGAAGGTGGGGTTCAAGTGGAGAAACCGATGGATTTGCACTCCAGTTCAGTTCTCAAAAAAGGCCATGGCCAAATGGAATCTATGTGGGTTTCTCCAAAGATCACTTTGGCTGGAGGGGTAGGGAGTGGCTGTCAGAGGTGGACAAGGAGAGGCTGCTGCAATGCTCCAGACTCTGGAGGAGGACCCCAAACCAGGACAGGGACCAGGGGGCTGGGGAAGAGGGGACCAAATCAGAGAGCAAAGGGCCAGCACTTGATTGATGTGAGAGCAGCATGGGCGGTGGACGGGGGAGACGGGGAATGATTCCCAGCTTTCCTGCCCAGGACGAGGTGGTGCCTTTCATCAGTGTGGAATCTGAATATAGCAGAGCAGTTCTGGAGAGAATGATGAGTTCAGTTTGGACGTGTTGAGTTTGAGATGCATGTGGACATCCAGGTGGCGAGCTCTAGTGGCAGACGAGAAAAGCTGGAGGTGGGTGCTGGAGGCGTAATCTGGGCCGTGGGGTATTTACTACCAACTGGTGATGCCTTCCCCCCATCCACTTCATCCCAGTCTTCCTGATGCCTGGATAGAAGAGTGTTGCAACATCCCGAGGTGATTTATAGGGAAAACGTCTTGCACTGCCTTCCAAGTGGGAATCTAAAACCCCACATTCTGATCCTAAGTGTAATTTCCAGTCATTTCCACCGACAACATTTGGTTCTTATTATCAAAAGATACTCACACAGATGTAGCATTAAAAATCTTGGCTTCGATGGATAAAGAAAACAAGATAATCTAAAGTACTGCAGCAACTCTCAGACATTTACGATTCCAAGAAATGGTTGTTGGATAACTGCTCTAGAATATCCATTTTCCAGTGTGTTTCTGGGTGGAAGAAAGCCAGCCCTTTGGTAAATTTCAGGCCGTTCATCTGAACCTTCAATCAGGAATGTCCTAGGGCCTTAGATGGTGAATTAGGCATGGGCATTTCCCCTTGATGTCTCCAGACCTGACACACATCCAGGCACACAGACAATGCTCACTAAGGGTTTGCTGACTGAAAAAAGAAACAGCTGAATACCTTAAGTCAGGACATGCTAGGTTTTCTCATTTGACATTTCCTTTCAAAGGTTCCGAGGGCTTAAATTACAGGGAAAGGAAGCTTCTGTAAGTCAGAAATGGAAACATATTTATGCGGAACTGATGTTTTGAACTTTAATGGAGAACTTTATCTTTCCTGTGTCAAATTCTATATTAGTGATTTGGGGTCCCCTCAAGCATCGGTAATTAGTAGAGGGCTCCTCATTCGTGAGTCCTGGTTATCCCCAAAGTATATTTTTTACGTAGTAATAGCTAACATTTATGAAGTACTTCTTACATGCCAAGCACTTTAACAAATTATCTCGTTTAATTCTCACAACAATTCTGGGACGATGATATGCTTATTATCCTCATCTTGCAGTCATGGTGACTCGGCCTTGGGAAACGTAGGCCATTTTTCCAAGGGCCCACGGCTAGTGGGAGGCAGAGCTGGTATTTGAGCCTAAGGAATGTGACCCCGCGGCCCAATTACTGACTGTTCCTGTTTCTGAGCCAACGGTGAGCCGGGGGTGGGTGGGATGGGCCTTCACGAACATTCATCTGCTTATTCCTTTCGGGAACCCTGAGACATAGGTCGTGTTCTGAACCCACTCTACAGCTGGGGGAACTGAGCCTCACAGAGGTGAAGCCGTGTGACATGACAGAGGCTGAACCTGGGTCCAAGGACGCCAGCATGCCCCTTTGTCTTCCCACCGGCCCCAGGACTCTGCTCCTCCCTCTGTAGCCCCTGATTCTCCCCAGTGCCCGAGACTTAGTCTCTGTTAGACAGCAGGTCTCCATCGGGTCTCCCAGGGGCACCCAGGCTGAGAGGGGTCAGCCTCAGCCCTGGGAACCTCCAGGACCCTCCGGGGCCTCAGTGCAATTGTGGCCGCACCATGCGCGGCTCAGGGGGCAAAAGAGATGGACCACGTGCCACTAATACCACGTGAAGGGAGCCTGGATCCCAGTACCCGTCCTTCCTTTCCACATCTCCCGTGCTGTTCGTCCCGTGCACACGGCCACATGAACAGAATCGAGAGACTGATCCAATCCCGTCCCTCTTAGGAGGTTTGCTTGCTTAGCAGGTCTGAGTCAAGGGAAGCCTCTCTTCCTCCCCGTGTGGTGCCCCAGGGACCAGCCAGTCCCCTGCCCCACCCACCCAGCCCAGGAGAGAGGACTGGGCTCCCCGAGAACAGCCTGAAATCATCCAGGATGCTGCCAGCTGCGGCTCGAGCACCCAGAGCCCATTCTCACTGTCTGCCCTCCACCGCATCGTGGTGTCATGGGGTCCAGAAGCGGCGGTTTACGGAAGCCTCTGTGCACCAGGCCTCTGCCCATCAGCCCAGCAAGGTGAGCAGGTTTATCTCCAATATACAGATGGATGGCGGAATCCAAAGTGGGCTTTGGGACCACACAGCCCAGATGCCCATCCCGGCTCAGTACTGCCTGGCTTTGAGCAAATCCCTTCACCTCTCGGAGCCTCCGTTGGTTCATCTCATCAGCCAAATGGGTTCCCTCCAGGGGTTCTTGACCTGGGCCCACAGATGCCTGAGAGATCCTTGGAAAGGATGGAGGGGGTTCCATAAAAGAGGATGGGGAATAGTTACCTCTTTATTTCAACCAACCTATAACTGAAATGTGGCGTTTCCTTCCACCGTGAAGGCACAGAGCTTCCAGAGGAGTGTTAGTAGCACCTGTGACCTGTCATCAATTAATGGCTGTGGCTACTTCGAAATTACAATCACTGGGCTTCCCTGGTGGCACAGTGGTTAAGAATCCACCTGCCAATGCAGGGGACATGGGCGAGCCCTGGTCTGAGAAGATCCCACGTGCCGCGGAGCAACTAAGCCTGTGCGCCACAACTACTGAGCCTGCGCTCTAGAGCCCGAGAGCTGCAACTACTAAAGCCCACGCGCCTAGAGCCCGTGCTCCCAACAAGAGAAGCCACCGCAATGAGAAGCCCGCGCACCACAACAAAGAGTAGTCCCTGCTCGCCACAACTAGAGAAAGTCCACGCGCAGCAACAAGACCCAGCTCAGCCAAATAAGTAAATAGATAATTAATTAATTAAAACAAAATTACAATCACCATTGGATCTGTCACCGGTCTTGCTGTTTAATGCGTTAATTTGTCAGTGCCCTTCCTGAAGTGTGTGTCTCAGAGGAAAGGAGCCCTCAGCTGGCCAGCGGGGTCTGTCTCAGCTCCTCAGCTACGTGAGGTCCCTCTGTGCACACAGCCTGCCCGCCTGATCGGTTAAACCACCTGTCGCCCAGCGTCTCCTGCATGGAGGGGAGGGTTTGGAAAAGGACTAACTCTTTTTTTTTGATTAATTGAAGTGTAGCTGATTTACTATGTAGTGTTAATTACTGCTGTACAGCTAAGTGGCTCAGTTATACCTGTATATACATTCCTTTTCATATTCTTTTCCATTATGGTTTATCCCAGGACTTTGAATATAGTTCCCTGTGCTATACAGTAGGACCTTGTTGTTTATCCATCCTATATACACCAGTTTGCATCTGGTAATTCCAAACTACCAATCCTTCCCTCCCCCACCCCCCTTCCCCCTTGGCAACCACAAGCCTCTTCTCTATAGGATTGACTCTTTAATGCCCAGTGCAGGCCTCTCCTGGTAGGCTCAGCCCAACATCCTTTTGGAGGAAGGCATCCATTTTGGTAACAGAAACTCCTTCAAACAGTTCCTCGGTTCCCAAACCTTGGCATCACCCTTGACCCCTCTTCCGATCTGTCATCATGTCTATTTGCTCCATCTCTAAATTTGTCCAGAGGCATGTCACTTCTCTCCACGTCTGCTGCTTCACCCGGGTCCAAGCTACCATCGTCGCCTGCCTGGATCATTACCGCGGGCTCCCTGATCGGCTCCCAGCTTCATCATTGCCCGCCCCCCCCCCCCCCCCCGCTTGTCTCACCCCAGCAGCCAGAGAAGCCATTCAACATGCAGGTCAAACTGTTCCTCGCTAAAAACCCTCCAGAGGCACCAGTCTGACTCCCAGTAGAAGTCACAGTCCTTGCAACCTGGACCGTCACCGAGAATCCAGCTCCCCCCACCCCTCCCCCTCCCCCACTGTGCTCCAGCCATGCCAACCTCCTGGACCACCCAAGCATCGTCCCTCCTCAGGACCTGTGTGCTTGCTGTTCCCTCTGCCTGGAAAGGTTTTGGTCCTCGCACCTTCAGGTTCTTCTGTCAATGTCTTCTTCTTGCTGAAGCCTTCCCTGGGGTAGTGGGCACTGTGACGTGCAGTCCTGACCCCTCTTCAGGAGCGAAGGACTTGTCCCCTGGCTGCTGGGAGGCGCCCTCGGCTCTCAGCCCCTTTGAGGATTGTCTCAGCTGAAGAAAACCTCCTGTTCAAGCACATGCATCCTTCCAAGGCAGCCTCATCCGATGCTGGTGAACATGGGGGATTTGAGACAATTCTGAAGGCTCATCTGTGTCCAGAACTCCATGGGGCGCTGGCTGAGTTCTTCGGCTTCAGTCACAGCTCAACTCCTCCCAAAGCCCAATCCTGCTTCCTTCCCTTCCTCCTGCATATGTGGATTCCAACTGTCCTCCCCAATAAATACCCCCACGCGAATCCCCAAATCAGCACCTGCTTCCCCGGGAACTCAGTTATCCCGGTCACCCAACCTAAAATCGCAGAGCTTCTCCCCAAATTCACACTCCCTCAGCCCTTCCTTCCCTGCTCGTCAGCACCCATCACCACCTACAACCACAGATTCACTTGTTGATTGTCTTTCCTCCCACCAGAACATAACCTCCATAAGGACAGGAACTTGTTTTGTTTTGTCCTTTCATGGCCCAGAACAGTACCTGGCACCATCGTCACCCACTCAGAATTTGCTGAGTGAATGAGTGAGTGAACAGCTACACCATCCTTGACTTGTAGTCAACAAATTCCTCCAAATCCTTTTCTCACACTCTGTCGACTATGACATTCCGAGTTTGTGTAATTGATTTCAGGGCCTGATTCCAGATCTCGACAACCTGTCACGGCTACATTCCATCCTGCTGATTGTGTCGGTCCTGGTTCTGACTCTAATCCCCTGGAGAACTGAGAAGCATACAGTTTGGAGCTCCATCCAAGTCACCATCAAAAATGCTGCATAGAACAAAGTAGCTCTCACAGCCATATTCTCGGTAGCATTTCTGTCTGCTTTTGTTGATCTTATCTGCGTACTGATTTGCTTGTTTATTTCCGTCCCCTCTTTAGCCTACACATCTTGGTAACGGCTGCAGCCCAGGGCCTAGCACTGTGCCTGGCATATTACAGGCTCTTGATACACAAGCATCAGATGAATGAACGTCTCTCCCCCTTACAGAATGTGACTTTGGATCTGCCAGAAGAGGCTTTTGGCATTAATCCGTGAGTTACCAGGGTTGGGATATGAGCATGAGGGTCGTGTTGTGCTGGCCTCTTGGCCCTATCACCCCCAGGAAGTGGATGTCACATTTCCACACCCAGGCCTCGCTGGTTAGGCTCTCTGACCCCTTGGGGCGCCTCTCAGGGACCACTGTAGGGACATGCTGCCTGGTACTCCCTGTGGCTCCCAGGAATGCTGGTCCTTGGACTTCCAGTGCCATCCCCCGGATCTCTAACAGAAGCGCCGCGGAGCTGAGCCGCGGATCTCTCTGTTATCAACTAAGCCACTATGATTAGGAAACACCGTGTGCCTGGACTGTCATTTTCCCCACACTGAGATTTTCCCCAGCAACTCCTCAATCATCACACAAACAAGACCCCAGTGGATTCACCCACTTGCTCTCTAGACGTGTCCTGAGTATGTCAGAACACTGGGTGGACCTGCTCAGGCTCAGGCTATGAAACTCACGCCCCACACATCATCAATCTCATTCAACAAATACATGTCATGTACCGTCCAAGGATCTGGGAACAGTAGCGAATAAAGTCAAGTCCCTGCCCTTTAGGAACGTACATTTTAGCGGCGGGGGGTCAATATACACATCAGGTGATATATGCCATGGAGAAAAATAAAGCAGGAGAGGAGGGAGGCGCCATGGAGGAGGGGTGTTGCCCTTTTACTTAGGGGGCAGGAAAGGGCCTCACTGAGAAGGTAACTCTTGAGATGAGTCCC